TCTGCTGCTGCTGCTGCCGCTGCTGCTGCTGCTGCTGCTGCTGCTGCACTGGGAGGTCCTGCTGCAGCAAGAAGTTCAGCAGCACAAATAAAACAAAATTTTATTTTGTCTCAAACTCCACTTTGATTCTTAATTCGAGTTGGGGTGTACGTACAGCCGGGATCACAGCTTGATAGTATTAAATGAATAAATAAATAATAAATGATAAATAATAAATAATAAATAAGTAATAATTAATAAGAAATAAAAAATAATAAATAACCAATAATAAATAAATAACAATAAATAATAATGAATAATATATAATTAATAAATAAATAATATATTAATAAATAACAGTAAAAGGAGTTTGTGAAAGAAAAAGAACTAAATAATAAAACTGACAGAGGACGAGGACATGCAGCAAATAAATAAATAAATAAATAAATACCAATGAATAAATAATAAGAAAATACATTAATAAATAAATAATAAATAATAATCAAATAAATAAATAATTAAAAATAAACCTTACGGAAGTTGGGGGCCTTATAGCTGCAAGGAGCAGCAGGCAGCAGCAGCTGCTGCTGCTGCGCTGCAGCAAACAGCAGCAGCGAAGCAGCAGCAGGATGAAGTCCTTTTGCTGCTGTTTGATTCAGGAAAGCCTTCAACTCCGCCGTCGATCTGACAACAAACACGCCAAATTAGGGTTTAGGGTTTAGGGTTTAGGGTTTGGCGTTTTGAGCGCACGCAGCGCCGCTCTCTGCGACTCAGTGAGCGTCGAGGGTTTAGGGTTTAGAGTTCCTAGGATTTAGGGTTTAGAGGCCCTAGGGTTTAGGGTTTAGGGTTTACTGGCATTCGCTGGCCTCTCTGAGGGTTTGTTCAAACTCATCCACCTTCCCCTCCATGTTAGCAGACCTCTCCAGCAAAGCGAGAACTGCTCACAAACCCTCAACCCTAAACCCTAAACCCTAAACCCTAAACCCTAAGAGCTGGCTGCCGGGCTGCGTGACGTAAACCCTAATGCAGAGCTCTCTGCTCTGCTTCTTCGCCGCAGTCAGCCCTAGCCCTCATTTCCCACAAACCCTAAACCCTAAATCCCAAACCCTAAACCCTATATCCTAAACCCTAAACCCCAAACCCTAAACCCTCACGCGCTTCGGGCTGCATCTTGTCTGTCCACCGCCAGGGCCTTTGCTCCGGTGCCACGCCTTCAAGAGGATCATCTAAGAAAAGGGACTTGTACAGCCTGCAGCACAAACCCTAAACCCTAAACCCTAGACCCTTGGCCCTTTAGCGGAGTCTAGCAGGCTGGTATCCCAAAGGGTTTTCCCTCGAGGGTTTAGGGTTTAGGGTTTAGGGTCTGCGGTGCGGGCGTTTGGGCGCGCAGAGCGCGAACCGCTGCCCAGCGCCAGGGTTTAGGGTTTAGGGTTTAGGGTTTACGCGTGCAGGTCTTGCAAAGTAGGGTTTTCCGCCAGCAGCTCTGCGTCGAGCTGCTGCAGCAGCTTTTTAATTTGCTGCTGCTTCTGAGTCATCAGCAGCAGCAAACGCGAAAGGCCCAGCAGCGAGGGGTGCGTCTGCTTCGGGGCGTACCGGAGCGCCTTCAAACACCCAAACCCTAAACCCTAAACCCTAGACCCTAGACCCTAAACCCTAAACCCTAAACCCTAACGCCTAGAGGCACTTGTGGCTGAGCAGAAGAGACTTCAAAGCTAGAAGCAGCAGCAACAAAGATTGCTGCCTTTTGGAGAGGCGCAGCAGCGCGGCAGCAGCAGCACCTGCAGCAGCAGCAGGTG